AACCCTCACATCAGAATTATGTTTCCTTGACTTATAACTACGTATTAGCCACACTAAAGTTCGAGTATGCTTGACCTTGACTGCGTGTTAGCCACGGGATTAAACTGCTTGTCTTTATTTTTATTTTGTCCTCTATCATCCGATTTTTTTACATCTATATCTCATGACTATATAACCTATTAATCCTTCCAACATATGGTATTAAAGTCTTCTTATCAAAGATTATCATGTTGCCGGGCCTTAATAGCCACCATGAGATATGAGATAGAAAAATTGGATTGAAACGTCAAGTACTCTATTGGTAAATATAAATATTATTTTAATAAACTAAACTTGTGACAAAGGTAATCCAGAAGGATGTTAGCTCTATAACATTGATAAATATAATATACAATCAAAATCGATGTCGACACTTATGAAGTGATGTGTGAAAGTCTCAACTACTTTAGTCGTTGTACGAAAATATGGATCTATACTATATTATTAATGAATAAATTGAAACTCTATTTATAATAATTGATCGAATGTGCTTCCGATTGACTGGTCAACAAAATCTCTGATGTTAATGAATCATTTAACTATTACATCTTTATCATTAGTTGAACTTTTCTTTCACGGTTAAACTCTTTATATCTAAATCCCCGACATTCATGAAATACGAAAGTCTCACATACTAATCAATCATGTCTCATATATTATTTCTTAACCATGGAATGCATTAGAGTCTCCAAGAGATAGATATGTATCTCATTCACGTTGACTTTCTCAGTCATATCATAGAAGCTTGGATGAGTGTTCGGACCTCATACACTCATAGGCAACTTCTTTCCAACCTCACACCATATGGAAAAGAAGGTCGAAATGACCTTTCATGCTAATTCACCTCTTCCGACCATTCATCGCGTCATGAGAAATATCTATACCTTTCTTTCAACACCGAAAATCTTCTTGACGTGCACGTCCGGAAACATCAACATTTTATATATATTTTTTTTCTTTTATATGAAAATATTTTTAAATAATTTACTCAGAAAATCGATCATAATTAGTTTTTTACCTAAGAGCATTCTTTTTTAGTTTACTTGGGAGCATCCTTAAGACAAAAAGAGAAAAAGTGTGCTCTTTGTTTTAAAGATTGTTACCTAGTTTTATAGGGTTTGAGTGTGAACCTGTCCAAATTTGATTTAAAAATATCTAAAATCATCTAAAAATAGAAAAGCAAATGAATATAATTTTGACATAATAACGTCGATGCTTAGTTGGTGGGCATTAGTCCATTGGCTCTTTGAATGTGTGAGTAGAGCTTGGGTTCATGATGTTCTCTTCTTTATAAGCACTTGCTTCTTTATAACCAGCTATTTGAGTGATTTAAGAAAAATAACAAGTGAAAAATCGAATGCCATGTCGGCATGAATCCGACACCAAGTTAGATGTCTAATTAATCTTACGTATGTAATGATGCATAATCAACATATAATATTGACATTAATGCTTGACGAACGACACTTTGACGTTTGGGTAATAGCTAATGTTCTGATAAAACTATTCACTAAAAAATAATTATCTACTTAAATGGAGATAATTGTTACATGTTTACCTATGAAAGGCTCTAGGTATGAACATTAAAGACTCATTGGTACGATCATTAATACTCCTCAAGTTACATACCATTCTAAATTAAGAGTTAAGAGGGCCTTTGTTGGATATGCCTAGACACTTAGTTTCATGACTTATTGACTGAAAAACTTTCGGAAAATCCTTTCATCTTGATACTAATTTTGTGACAATGGTGATTTCGAAGCAAATTTATTCTATAACTTTGATAGACCAATCAAAAATGACATCAACACTTGAAAAGTGGCACGTTAAAGTCCCAACCACTCTTTTCGTGGTGGATAAAAGTGTATCCGCACTACGTTGCAAGTTAATAATAAATACATTGGAACTCCATCTACATTAATTGAGCGATTGTGACTCCTCTTGACCGGTCGACAAAATCTTCTTTGTCTCATTCACATTAATTTTTGCCCGAACAACACGATAAGATGCAAGACTTTGACTTGCGTCTCAGCCATGGATGACTTCCCTCTAACCTCATCACATAGAAATAAAAGATGGAAATCAAGGCGTCATGACCTATCATTCGAAAAGTCTTCTCTTCCAATATTTTACTCCATCCATATCAAACCATTCATCAAGTCATCAGAAATATCTATACTTTCCAACGCTGAAAGTCTCCTTGACTTGCTCGTCGAGAACATAAACAATTTACATCCTTTTTTTGTTTTGTATAAAAATATTTTTGGACAATTTATTCAGAAAAGATGATCATAATTAGTGTTTATCGAAGAGCATTCTTTTTTTCTGAATTTACTCGAGAGCATCTTAAGACAGAAAAAGAACATGTATGCTCTTTATTTTTAAGATTTTTTACATGCCTTTACGGTGTGAATCTATCCAAGTTTGATTTAAAAAACCAAAATCTATAAAATAATCTAAAACTAGAAAACCCAATGAAATTACTATTTAATGTTGTATTTATATTCTATATTAAAATCGAGTTGAATAAGCTTTATGTCATTATACTTATACATATACCATGTTATATTCGATGACAGAAACAACAGAGAATCACCTTAAAAATAGAAAAGAACAATGAAATCAACATGTATATTATATTTGCCTGATCTATTGAAAGATGGAAGTAAGTTTGTGTTACACTTGTCACACTAGTAAATGAACGCTGGATGGAACCCTCACATCAGAATTATGTTTCCTTTGACTTGTAACTGCGTATTAGCCACACTAAAGTTCGAGTATGCTTGACCTTGACTGCGTATTAGCCACTCCATCAATTCTACAGATAATGTGTTAGACTTCGTAAGTTAAAGAGAAACTTAACTTCATTGTCGACTTTGGATACCCTAGGCTACGACTATGACAAAACATTTGTTCAGCGATCTTTGTCGTCGGTCCGTCACTTAATCTCATTGCAACAGTTGTAAATAGAGAGAGTTGATTGGTCAACTTTTGTTATTGTTCTAACTCTCAATGGTAAGTTGTTAACAGTTAAATTGTTCACATCTAAATCTCCAACACCCAAATCTCTCATATTAATCAATCAACTCTCAATGGTATCTGATTTATGTCTCATTCACATAGGTTTGCATCCGAGGAACACGATAAAAATGT